TGATCCTGTTGAGGACCCAGTGGGGCCTCGCGAGGACGAACTTGTGTTGGATCCCGAGTGCGGAGATTTATCTGGACTTCATGAGGAGGATCCTGATCACGAGGATGAAGTGGCAAGTCAGAGCATCCGCGATGTGGGATGTTGTTAGCATTGGCACGTTCTCTCCGATAAGATGACTCAGGTACATCATACGCGCTAGGTGATCTTGTATGCTTTCCCACAGACTACGCCAAAATGATGATGCTAGAAATTGATCACCTTAAGTAGTTGAGAGATAGGGAGCTGGGAGAGCAAAGTGGATCACTGCTCACGTGCTAGATGGCCTGAGATACCTGCAAACAGAGAACACGTGAACTAGGCCGGGGGCTGATCCGGCGGAAACCCCTCCGACGCTCAAGTCAGACGTGCGGATTGTAGGAAATAATTGAGAGAATATGACATGTCCTCTTATTCAGATAGTAGAGCGTACCTTTAATACATGAATTATATCGTTATCTATACCTTAGTTGAGATTGTTGGGCCCAAACCTTATTTGAAGGTAATTGGGCTTCGATGATAGTGGTCTTCAATATTGAGCTCGTAGCCCTGTTAATAAATAAATTGTAAGCCCATTGAGTTGCCGAATTAGGCATATCAATTATAAATAGTATAATAATAAATAATATAATAATAAATAATATAATGTAATAATATAATAAATAAATTTGCATGTTTTTTGAGCGTGCAGATATAATAAATAGGGTAAACAGCATAAAAAACCCCCTGTGTTAAGAAAAATTTGCGTTAAACCACTCTGTTTTTTTTTTCCCTTGCGTAAAACCCCCTTGTGTTTCATTTTACTTTGCACGAAATCTCATTTTCCGTTAAAAGTTAACACCGTTAACTATATAGGGGATTTTATGCAAGTTTCTTATAACATATGGAGATTTAGTGCATAGTTTTGCAACACAAGGGGGGTCGATGCCAATTTAATTTATTCATTTAACATTTAAAATATTTTCTTAAATTAAGTCGAATACATCTATTAATTTAAAATATGAAAACCAAAAAAAATAATATTGGAGATGGAAGATGGAACAAATTCTCAAATTATTATGTTCTTTTCACATATTATTAATATAATCCAGAATAAATTATAAAAATAGATGATAATTCTTACAAAATAATTATATATTTTCGAAAATCAAAATTCTTAAATAAATTAATAAATTATATCATATAAAAATTGATTTTTTTAAAATACTCTCCACACCTATTAAATTTATATTTTTCATATTGTAACTGAATAAATGTGTTCAACTTAATTTAAGAAAATAATGTGAAAATTTTTAAATGAATAAATTAATTTTGCATAATCCCCTTGTACTGTATAAAATATGCACTAAATCCCCCTATGTTATGCAAATATTGCATAAAATCCCCTTATATTGTATAAAATATGCACTAAATCCCCCTATGTTATGCAAAAAATGCATAAAATCCCCTCTATAGTTAACGGTGTTAACTTTAAACGGAAAAGGGGATTTCGTGCAAAGTAAAATGAAACACAAGGGGGCTTTACGCAAGAAAAAAAAATAAAGAAGGGTTTGGCGCAGGTTTTTCTTAACACATGGGGGTTTTATGATGTTTACCCATAATAAATACAATCAAACCTAACTCTATACAAATGTATGTGCTTGTGCCTTTTAGTAGAGCTACTCATGCCAAATTGTGGGCAGCGATGTTGGGCTAGTTCTGGACCGGCAGAAAAGAACCACGACTTCAACCCAATTTACTATATCTAGTAAGCTAACGAAAAACACATGGAGGGGGAGAAATACCCAATCGATGTTTATGATGAAGCATTTGCCTAATAAGGCTCATGATTTTCATGCCTTTTCATTTTTGAGTTCTCGTTTATTCTACGTTGGTAGATAATGAGGTGGTCATAGTTTGTTTGAGTCTATTTGGAGTAGTCTGTTTGCCGCATGGTGCCACATTTTTTGTAGTCGTTGTATATGTTCCGCCCATTTTTTGTGGAACTATTAGTGGCCTCGACTGTTGTGGTGAGGTGAACGGACTTTCTCGATTTTCTCAAGCTTTTTATGATCATTCTCATTCTTATGTCTTCTCGTTAGTTTGGGCTTCATCTTTTGCCTGTGTTATTCTATTTTTGATAGGTTTTTTTTTTTTTTTTTTTTTGCCGTTGCATTTTTAGCCATTTTTCAAGCTTAGCATATTGCCTTAGACTCTTTATGTACTTATTGAGTTTTGATCTTTAGATAGGGTGGAGATCCAGCCCAACCCCCACCCTCATCGGGTGTTCGTTTTTTAAAAAAAATTATAATTATACTAAGAGAGATCCAATACATAATCCCCAATAAGACAAGAAATTAGTTCGTTTTTTTATAATTGCAGGTCGGCTGAAAAGTTAATGTACTAATTGTTATAAATCAATATAATGTTATAGATGTCCACCCTTTTTTTATTCTTTTTTTGTTATATATATATATATATATATATATATATATATATATATATATATATATATATATATATATATTAGCCAAAAGGTTTTAATCTATTAACCGATAAAAGTGTGAGAGGGCTCGTTAAAAACCTTGTGGGCCTATACAATGAAAAGAGTACCCCTAAAGATAAGAATAAAAATCAAGCAACATTTCTAGCTAGCACACTAATGCTACAAAGCCTCCAAAATTGAGGGAAAAAGATACGAACAAAAGTAAGGGCATATTACAAATAAGCCCATCAGTGGGAACTTATTCATAAAGAGATCCAGACAATATTCTCCTTTACCAATAAGTCCACACATGGTCCAGATTTATGTAAAGGACTAAAATAACCCCTCTTACTTTAATATGCTCCAATTTCATCCTTAACTTACTTTAACTTCAATTTGACCCCAACTTTCACAAATTATTCAATTTTGACCCAAAACTTTTTTTTTTTCACAAATTTTTTTTTTTTCAAAAACTTTTTTTTCCCGCCGGATTCCGGCGTTGACCGGCGGTCAACGCCGGTCTCCGGCGTTGACTTTTTAATTTTTTTCCTTCCGGATTTTTTTTCCGGATTCCGGCGGTCAACGCCGGTCTCCGGCGTTGACTTTTTAATTTTTTTTTTTTTTTTTTTTTTTTTCTGTAACTTTTTTTTCCGTTTAAACAGCAATATTGCTGTGAATGACAGTAATATTAACTATATTACTGTTAAACACAGTAAAATTAACTAAACTATAGTTTAACACATTGATATTGCTATATTAATCTCTAGCACATTAATATTAACACAACAAAATTCATTATTATTGTATAATAAAGTAATATTACTATGTTGTCCGTTCAACAAATGTAAACAAAATAAAAAAAACCAAAAGAATTAATATTACTGTGAGTGACAGTAATATTACTATAGCAACAGTAATATTACAATAGTAGACAGTAATATTATTACGTTACTTCGTGAATAACTCGAACAAAACAAACACCCCAAAAAAATAATAATATTGATGTTGTTGACAGTAATATTATTGTGTTTACAGTTATTTTACTGTCAACGACAGTAATATAATTACGTTGACTTGTCAACAAATCAAAAAAAATAAAAAAAAATAATAATAAATAAAAAAATATAATATTGCATTAATTTACTGTCAACGGCAGCACAATTACATAAATGTAATGTCAACGGCAGTACAATTACGTTAATTAACTATCATTGACAGTATAATTACGCTAAATTACTGTCAGTGACAGCACAATTACGGTCAACGTGTAGCGGCGGGCGTGGAAAAACAAAACAAACCAAACAAAAAAAAAAAACTTAAAAAAACACTAAAGAAAGAGACCGCCGGAAACCGGCGAAAAAATCCGGAAGAAAAGAAAAGAAAAAAAAAAGAAAAAAGAAAAAAAAAAAAAAAAAAGTCAACGCCGGAGACCGGCGTTGACCGCCGGTCAACGCTGGAATCCGGAAAAAAAAATCCGGAAGAAAAAAAAAAAAAAAAAAAAAAAAAAAAAGTTTAAAAAGTCAACGCCGGAAACCGGCGTTGACCGCCGGTCAACGCCGGAATCCGGCGGCAAAAAAAAAGTTTTTGAAAAAAAAAAATTTTTTGAAAAAAAAAAATTTTTTGGGTCAAAATTTAATAATTTGTGAAATTTGGGGTCAAATTGAGATTAAATTAAGTTAAGGATGAAATTGGAGCATATTAAATTATACTCCAAAAAAAAGTCAAAATTGAATTTTTGTGGTCAAAATTGAACTTTTATGGACAAAATTGATTAATTTGGATTACAATTAAGAATTGGGTATAAATGGTTGAGGGTAATATTGGGATATACATGAATGTTTCCTTTAGTTATAATAAATATTAAAGGGATGGGCTTATTGGTGAAAGAGATATGTCCCCTATACCTAGAATAATAAACATGCTTGGTTGGGGACTTTTGCATAAAAATCCCCAAAAGTAATAGATAAATCTACTTGAAATACACACTAATTTTCCATTGGGTATTTTTGGCAAGATTTTAAATGAATACATACTATTTTCTCATTCAACTATGTTTTGTTCCACTTGATTTTCCTAACAAAGTTTTTAACGCGGCATACTCTGTAATGGTGGACATCCAAGGGTGTTATAAATCCATATAATGTTATTGATGCCTACCACTGTTCTCACTGTTATCACGCCATAATACCAATTGAAGATCCCATTAAAAAAATTTGTAACTCATGAGCTTTGGCGGGTCTTTCTAGTGCCATATATAGACCATCATGTAATATGGTCCATGTAATGTGTTCTATACACTTGAAGAAGAAGAAAATAATATACTTGTTTCCCTCTATATTATTATTTCAATTTCTGTTTTGTTATTTCTTTATTAGTTTCTTAACACTAACCAAAATATCAATTATTTTTAATTAATCACGATTTATCTTAGTAACCAAACGAGACCATAATCTACTATCCAATTAAAAGTTCAAGCTCAACTATGTAGCATGCTATTTTCTTTGGCTCCCATTAGAAATTATTTGCACTCAATGGAAACAAATATACATCAAACATCAATTACAAGCAAATTCATTTGAATTTACAAACTGCACAATATTTGAATACAAAAGGGGAATACGAAAGGATTTTCTGATCCGACTCAAACTTGTTCTGTACTTTTGTCAATAAATTTCAAACCTTTTTTGGTTCAAAGACAATGCTGCACACGCCTCTTTTTGTATAGGCATTCAATCGGGAGAAAAAAAATAAGTAGAGATTCTTTCCGTTTATTAGCTTCTACGGTCGTCTAAATTTACAGAAGATTGACCACTTTTATCACTTCTCCTGCTCGATGGTCTTGGCGCTTGTGAACTCGTAATCGGCTTCTGAAGTGGTTTTAATGCAGCCATTATTTCACCGAACGATGGCCGTAAGTTTGGATCCCTATAAAACACGCACAAAAAGAATGGACTTTGTTAATAGCTTCTTTACAAAATATATATATATATACATATGCAATTACAAATATAAATTTGGTGCTTGATAAATGATTTAAAACTCACGTTTGCCAGCATTTCATAATAATATCTGCAATAACCGGATCGATGTCCTGCGGTATTTCGAGACGACGGTGCTGAAAACCGACAGCACCAACGACTTGCATAGGGTTCATTCCTCCCCAAGGTTGCTGCAACGTACAAAGCTCCCATAGTATGACGCCGTAGCTATAAACATCACATCTGCATATTCAATCAACTATTATTATTACAACATTAAAATAAAATGATATGTCAAACTTTATGAGTTTAGTTTTGAGTTGATTCAGTTCTATTATAAGCTGAACATACTTCTCGTTGGACGGCTCGTTTCTTAAAACTTCTGGTGCCATCCACTCTGCCTGAAAATTGGTAACACCGGAATAATTAATTAGTAGTGCTATTACAAACCAATTATAATCAAATCTTGCAAGTTAAATGAATCTTAACTTCAAACAGAAACTATTTTCAGGACTAGAAGTTGATCGGCAAAAGATGTAATAAAAAGATCCAATGGAATTCATATAATTAGTGCAAGGATGCTAATAATTTCACGTGGAGAGAAAAAGCATGTACCACAAAATTATCATCTTATCAATGATTTTATTTAAATAGTTGGACTAGAGGTCAAATACTCGTATAAAATTGGGGTCAGTCCAAAGAGTTTTTGGATTAACCAAATACCAAATAAGGCTGAACTATTTAATTAATCATGGCTTATCTTGGCCACCAAACGAGGTCTTATAGTACTATCACTCCGAAAGATGCAAATGTAATAATTTTTTCACATTCCGCCATATAACTTATGTAGATTAATTAGTTATTGTCCCAGAAGTATCTAAAGATACAGATAATTTATGGTTACGAGAAAAGTTTGAAGTCAAACAAGTGAATCAGCTCCAAATAACTAAAAACAAAAGACATATGCTACATACAGATACAAATTTGATTATGTTTTAAGTAACTGATGCGAAAAAAAGTACACGCTGAAATTCGCAGCCATTTCGACTTTTCACAAATTAAATATGAACCTATATCGCCAACTATAACTGCAGTCAGCGACTACGGTGCAATTGTCGATGCATAGTTGGTTTATTGCACTATCCCGTTTCTTCCACACGTCAACTATCGATGTTTTATTTTTATTATTTTTATTTATCATAAACTCTGCTTCCAGACATATTTGAATATACATTTGAGGTAAGATGCAAAAATTAAGACATTAAGAATGAAAACTAGTCTATATAGAGGCGTAGTAAATTTGAAAATTTTATTTTTGAAGCATAGAACACGACAAAACAACCTTTTAGTGAAGGCGAAACTTGGCAATCAAACATCTCCAAAGGCGTGAGAGTAATAGGAATCAACAGCAATTTGAGCTATCTTCTACAAAAATGGCTGATAAATTCAACAAAAATTAGCTTGGTTGCGCGCATGATTCGATCATGCAGCTATTTTATGAAGGCAAAGGGCATCATAGTAAATAGACACAACTGAAAAAGATGGGCGGAATTCGGAGAAACGTTTCCCACGGAAAAGGACCAAATATACTCCAACATAGAATTGTATTTAAATGTCGAAACAGAAACTAGTTACATCAACAATCTATAAGACAATAAGCAACTCATGAAAAGAACGGAAGCAAGGAAAAAATTACTTATTATCGAGCATCATAAAAATAATGACCGCAATAAAAGGTGAGAGAGAAGATTACCGTTCCAGCAGTAGACCTCGAAGAGAGAAATGTGCTGTGTTTCATTCTCGACAATCCAAAATCGCATACCTGACAGAAGAAAATAATAAAATGTGGATTATGATTGTATAGAATACGGCAACATTGTAAATTTTAAAAAAGGCGTACGGATATCACCTTGACAATCCAATTCTTATCGACAAGAAGATTCGGGGACTTCAAATCTCGATGGACTATCACTGGAGTTGAATTATGCAAATAATTCATTCCTCGGGCCTATGATATTAATCGTATTGCAATAATTAGCATAAAAAAATAGAAGTTGGGGCGAATAATTAAAAGGCTTAGTAGCGCATTCGTACTGCATCGAGAGCCATCCTCATTCGTCTACGTTCGTCTAGTTGGTTGTTTGGGCGATGAATTAATCTGTACAAACTACCTCTGCAAACACAAAAAGATCGTCTTTTTCAATCCTTATCTTGTTGCTCTCGCTCGGTCAAATTAGTTTTAAAAAATTGTCAAACGCCACATGCAAATTATGATACGGAAAGTCGAAAGGATTTGGAATTTCCGCATACCTAGGAAGGAATTCTGTAATAATGGAAAGATTTGGTGGACGAGTGATCGCTCCCATGAAGAGAACTACGTTTGGGTGTCTCACTCTTTTCATGATCCGAACCTTGCAAAAAAACGTACAAACGAATTTAAAACAAAGTTGAAATTATATATAAATAAGTCGAGGATGAAATCGTTACAATCAATATATATATATATATATATATATATATATATATATATATATATATATATATATATATATATATATATATATATATATATATTTACGGGACTAACTTCATCGTTGAACATACCTCGCTTCTGAATTCCTCGAGAGATTCGCCGGTTATATCTTGGTCGAGGAATTTCTTGACTGCAACTTCCTAAAGTTGGAATCAATGTGTAAATACTCTGTCGTCCAAAATCAGTTGCTGATAAATGAACAGACCCATAAAACACAATTGCAATACTTAAGAGATATACAAACGCATATGATCTTAATGAAAAAATGAATTAAATAACCACGAAAAAACATAAATGTTAATTTCCAGACAGTAAGATTAGAAATCAAATCGCCCGAGAAAAACAAGTTCTTGAAAACTCACAGTTCCATGCCAGTCTCCACGATATACCTCACCGTAAGATCCTGCAATAAAAGGAATACAAAAATATAAGATACTTCGGGTTCTCATTTTTTTCGTCAAAAAACCAATTAAATTTTGGCTGAATAAAAAAATCGAGGATTCGTACCAAGCCCAATACGCTCACCCAATGCAATATCCTCCCAAGGGATTTCACAATCCGCCACATCATCAAGAGCTGCGTCAGATTTCGAACTCTCGTTCCCAGTCGACCTATCTGAAACCCTCTCACCTTCCAAATTCGCCCCTTGACCCTCCTGTTCCTCACAAACCGCCACATCAGCAGCATCACCGTCGCTCTTCACACACCTTGTATCTATCGATTGAACAGCTGCAGTTGTCGCCACAACCGCCGCAGCCGTCGCTGTGGCGGCAGCCGCCACCGGAAGCTGCAGATTCCGGTCAGCAATACTGTTCCCCTTCGAAGCTGCAACCACCATCGAAGAGGCCACAACTGCCGCCGCCGCAGCAGCGGCGGCAGCAACTGGAACACTCTTCGTTTCGATCGCCCCCTTTATACCGTAATGTGGCGGCAGTGGTGGAAGAAAAGCTCGGTCCGGGTTATTATTATTATTATTATTGTTGTTGTTGTTATTTGTATTATTGCCCTTCTTTTTATTTTTGTCTTTTGTGATGGGCTTAACATCCGCCAGCTCGACATCTAACTGATCGGAATACATTTCGGTGAACAAGTTTGGGGGGGCGACCACCCCGCTTTCGAGTAGAACGTCATGGAGTTTCTGAGCTAACTGTGGGTTTTCTTTGGCGGCATCGATCATGTATTGTGAAGCATCTTTGACTTTCATTCTTCGTACAGCTGGCGAGCTAACACCTTCCGTCCAAGAAGGAGATCTTGCGTGCGCAAACGAATGATAAGGCCTGTTTGAGTCTTTCTTTGCATCCCAAAGCTTTTTTGAAGTATCGGCATCGTGTTTAGATTCCTCTACCACAGGAATATTCTCCGTAAACTTGGATCTTTTGTCGACTGCTCTGAACCCTGATGAGTCTTGAGATGAGTTGGTTATTCCGCCACTGGATGAAGAAGGGAAGGAGTATATGGTTTCATTAACGTGGGGCCCACCTGCTGCTGCGTCAGATGGAATGAGTGTGCCGGGGTCCGCCATCAAATCAACAATGTATTCCCTGAATCACATTATCTACTTATTCTCAAGACAGGAGTATATGTTTCGAAAGATACAAGTGTACCGCGTTATCAGCAATAATGCATTTATGGAATCAAAGGCTTCGTTTGGTTGCCAAGATAGGATTAGCAAAGATAAGACTCAATAATCTAATGAAACCCAATTATATTATTGAACCATGGAAGGTCCAATAAATAATCCATGAAAACATAATATTTACGGGTCGACCCGGGAAATTATTGGGCATACCAAACATCAAACAAAGTTCAAATATTTAGTGAATCATAGCTAATCTCCCCAACCAAACGAAGCCTAAAACTATAGTATCGTGTATTAGAAACTTCCTGTGAATTATTCTTATTTCTTACCTTGCACCATCAATTTTCACAAAGTTCATTGCCACGTCATCAGAACCAGTAAACTGCTTTCCTTTCACTAATCGGCAAGGAATCCCCAAGCTATCAGCCAAAACCTGCACAAACATAACGAACAAAGAAAAAAAAAACAATTATATTTTCCAAATAGTTTATTCTTCGCACATCCGTGAGTGAGTTCAATGCTCGTTAGCATATACTCTATAGAGGACACTTGCATATAATGCATGTGACACCTTCGACTCCAATTTTCAACTCAAGAATCAATAAGATAATACCAATACGAACACTCTAGTACAATTTAAATCAGACAGAAAAGATAATCTCTCATGGAGAGAGAGATTTCCGAAAAAGATTAAATAGGAAGCAAGTTCTCTAGAGAAAATAAAGAAGTCACACAAAATGTGCAAGCATGTATATTAATATACATATTTTTATGTGTATGTATACAAATTGCCAAAACCCAGAAAATATTCGATACCTTGAAAAGCAAAGCGCGATGACGGGCCAAACCAACGGTCAAGGAACCAATAGGCAAAACCATGCTACCATGGCCCGCCTTCAACGTACGGTTGAGATTTTTCCATGCAATCAACATGCTGTCAGGGTCGCCGACCGGGCCCCCCATGTGGTCAGAAACTAAATTAGCAAGCTTCTGCACCATACTGTGTGTTACGTAATTAACAGAATGCGACCGCAGCTTCGAAGCCATATCCATGGCTTTTTGTTCGATGTTCAACAACTTTGTGTCGGCCTCTCTGTTTACAAGAATGGCTTCCCAATTAATATTGTCGGCTACAGGTGTTCCTTGCAAATCGACTAGGGAAGGCATTCTAGAAGAAGTGGAGTCGATTAGGACGCCGTAAAGATCGTAGAAGCCGTCCATAATCTTGTCGTCGTAGCTTAGGGCATTGTAATTCTGTGAAGCATGAATAAATCTAGAATATGAGATTTATGTTAGAATGGAAGTAGAGAGGATCATTGCATAAGTTGGTAATGATTAGGAGGTTTTGGATTATATTTTGGGGGAATAATTCTGTCTGTTCGAAAAAACGTTTGGTTTTATTTCGAGGAATTAAAACCAAACATTGTCTTTATATATGCAATAATATTGAGATGTCTCGGATTCAGGCCACAACGTAGATTTTGCATCGAATATAAACATGCGAGTGCGCCTAGTTGTTATTATTTAGAGTTTTCGGCAAATTTCTGTAATCCTATAGTCCTAAGCTAGTTGCTAGTTATAATGGTGTATCTATCCGCGATTGAGGTAGGCTAGAGTTAGCTCGCATAAATTGTAGACATTAAATATAGGACAACTGCAAATGAAATAGCTAAGACATCAAAGCAATTCGGATTAAGCTTAAATAAATGAGAAAAAAATATATCTTGATTATATTTTGCCATATTCAGCGATTTATTAAGAAACTTCTACACTACTACTTCTTCAATTTACTTATTGGGATTCGCCTAATTCTCTAATTTCAGCTTATGATGTTCGAGTTTATTAGTCGAGGCCAAACCTTAGCACTCAACCTAGTTGTATAGCTTGGCTTATTCTCAATTTTAGGACATGATTACTTATAAGTGACTTAAATAGGAAATCAAAAATCCTAGCAATCGCTAACGTTCATTTTCTTCGATAACCAGAAATGCGCCTCGTGAAATTGTTTGAGCAAACTTTCTTCTGCACATAGCACATATTTAATCTACCAATAGGCTACAGGAGATCGGTAGGAAGAGTACTTTAACACTCGATATGTATTCGATTTCATAACATACCACATCTCAATTGAAGCACAACTCGTTCAACTAAACAGTCATTGCACTCAAGCTAACTCGACAATGAAACTGCTATTAATCGTCGTCAAGAAAAAAACAATATTTTGAAACTTACCCAATATCGATAAGCAACAACTTCAGCCGGAGTATTTTCTGGGGGGCAAGAACCCAAACTAATCTGTTTAACAGCTTCAATTTGAACAGCCTCGGGATCCTCTTTAGCACTCAACTCCAAAGCCAACTGAATTTGATACTCCTCTTCAATATCCTGATCCCTCGAATTATTCGACCCCGAATCGCCCCTCACAGCATCTAAAGCAGCATCTAAGCTACTACTCCCCGCAGAATCGGAAGGTTCGATTCGTTCCCCTCTTGCGACATTCGAGGACGATGGTGGTGGACTAGGATTATTATTAATACTACTACTATGCCTATTCGTCACGGAATTCAACCATCCCGAAATCGCCGAAAAGGGTTTGTTATCGGACTTGGAGTGTGATAGTAACAACAGCCTGTCACTTTGTGAACCATCATTCAATCTGCCGTTACCGTTACCGTTACCCCCCTTTGTTGATGAAGTGGAGCTCTCTGATTCCTCGGACTGGTTAGATCCTATGTGCAGTTTCTTTAGGAAATTCTTCATTTTTCTTGTCCCTAAAGCTGAAATAGTCAATGCTAGAGAAGCAAGGACAACATGCAATTAAACCTCTCCATTGTTGTCTCAATTCAGAAAATCAAGAATTGGAAAAATAATAAAACCCTTTTGGTCAATACCCAAGAATTTGACCTCAAGAACAAAAACCCAGAATCCCAACTGAAAGAAAACACACACCCTTCTCACAGCAGAGCAAAACCCCAGATCAATAAAATACTACAAGAATTATCAGTTGGACTAAAACTAATAAAGATTGCTCCTTTTCTAATCCTCTGATTAAGGTTTCGAAGAGAGAGATAGAGAGAGAATTGATGAGTTGTGAGAGGATAGAGAAACTAGAGAGAGAGAGAGAGAGAGAGAGAGTAAAATCAAAAGAAGCAAATGCAGCAGCTGCAAAGACAGCGAAGACCAACAAGTGGGAAGTGGGGGGGAGTAGGACCTTGGGCAAAAATGACCACTTCTTCCACAGAATTATTACAAAACAACCCCTTTTTTTGCCCTTTCTATCTAATAACAAGAACCAAAACCAACTTCAACTTGTCCTCTTTCTCTCTCTCTCCTCTCACTAAACAAAGAAATTCGACCATAACAATCAATTTTAAAAGTCGGGTCTTTATCTGCATAACATAATTGCTAATACTCAAACTGGCGTTTCTTTAGTAGAGTTGGTCACCATAGACAAACTTTGGCTAAATTTTATTTTTTCAAGATTTAATATTTTATTCGATATTGGTCAACTGTAATTGGTCAAAGTCTACTTATTTAACTTCTTGGTACATATCCCAGATAGGTAGTAATGTATACGTTATAATTTACATTATTTAAATAGAGCTAATTGCATAGAATCCCGTCTAATTTCAAATTGCTAAAAAAATTATAGTTTTAAAAAAATTGGCACATAACCCCCCATGTTATCTTTTACATAGCACACTGGTCATTTCGTCAAAATTGATTGTTGACTTACATGCAATGACTAATTTATCCTTACAAAGAAAAAAATGAAATTAACAAAAAAGGAAAAGAAAAAAAGAAAAAAGAAAAAGACCACAAAAAGGGCTGCAAAAGAATGAAAAAGAAGATGATATTTCTTCTTTTAAATCATCAAGAAAACGTCTGCCCCGTCGAAACTACCTTGGACCAGCCGGACCCTTAGATCTCGCCGGAAGAATGGGTCGGATAATGGTTGAAAACGTCTGCCCCCGTCATAATTGTTAAATATTGAAAACCATTACCAACCCAACTATTATGGGTCGGATAATGGTTGACAAACAACTTTGCGGGTAAACGATGGATTAGTTGGTTGGTATTATAGACCATTTATTTATTGATTTTTATTTTTTACAATAATAAGGTATTTTTAAGTGTTTTTTCAGAATATATTCAAAAATTTCGGAAACCTTTTATGTAGCAAATTTTTTTAACTTTAAAATTAAAAGTTTGTTTTTATTAAACTTATACAATAAGTAATTATATAATAAATAATTTGAAATAAGAATTATAAAATAAAAATAGTACATAAAGGTTTATAAACTTGTGGTTTGAGTTTTTTATTTTATATATTTTATTAACATTAATAAAAAAAGAATTACAATTAAATATTTGTAATAAATTTTTATTATTAAAAAAGTCGGTTGCTCGATATTAACCGATCAATCGAATAAACTGAAAACCACGGAGCAACCTATTTATATATGCATTGGTTAAAATTACCGGTCCGACAAAAAAATTTATCGACTAAAAAAATTGAATTGATTGACCGATAAAATCGGCTCATGCACTGCCCTAAAGTTACTAATATTGAAATTGTAGTATAGATTTACATAATAGTATTACAATAAGGGCGAATGGCAAAAAAATCCATCACATGAGACTTAAATGCACATTGGTCCACAAAAAAAAAAAAAAAAACAGTCTCTCAATTAAACACATCCCCATGTCTTTAGTCTAAAATACCCTCCATAATATAATTCTTATCAATTCCATCCATTATGCTCTAACTTCCTTAATATTACACATTGACCCCGGATTTAAACAAATATATCACATTAACACCCAAAAAATTATTTTTTTCAGAAAATAATTTTTTTTCTGAATTTCTTTTTTCCGGCCAGATTCCGGCGTTGACTTTTTTTTTTTTTTTTATTTTGAAATTTTTTTTTCCTGAAATTTTTTTCCGGGCGGTCAAACACTGTTGATCGCCGGTCTCCGCCATTGAGTTTTTTTTTTCTGAATTTTTTTTCTTAGCAAAAAATATTTTAATTAAAATTAATGTCTGGGCTACTAAATTACCGTCTTAGACAGTAATAGTATTGTTTGGGACAGTAATATTATGAATATTATTTTCCCGAACAATAATATTATTAATATTACTGTCTAAGACAGTAAAATTACTGTTGGAGACAGTAATTTAGCAGCCAAGGCAGTAATATTAATTAAAATAATTTTTTTTAAGAAAAAAGTTTCAAAAAAAAAAATCAATTAACAGTTAAATAACTGGTGGAGACAGTAATTTAGCAGCCAAGACAATAATATTAATTAAAAATACTTTTTTTAAGAATAAAGAAGTCAATAAACAGTTAAATTATTGTCTCCGACAGTTAAATAACTGCTGGAGACAGTAATTTAGCAACGAATACAGTAATATTAATTAAAATATAAAAAAAAAAATCAATTAACAGTTAAATTACTGTCTCCGACATTTAAATAACTGTAGGAGATACTAATTTAGCAGCCAAGACAGTAATATTAATTAAAATATTTTTGAAGAAAAAAAAAGTCAATTAACAGTTAAATTACTGTCTCAAACAGTTAAATAACTGCTGGAGACAGTAATATTAATTAAAAAAAATTAAGAAAAAAAAAAAAAAAAGTCAACGCCGGAGACCGGCGGTCTCCGGTGGTGGCGGGTCAAAATTGAAATTAGGGTTAAAATTGGTTAATTGATGAAATTAGGCTGAATTGGGATGTAAATCATGAAATTGGAGTTGAATTGGGTTTCAAAGAATTGGGGGTAATTTTGGTATATATAAAAGGATTTTCTTTATTTGCAAATAAGTTTGAATGATTTGAAAGACAAAAAAGTTGAATGTCCCTATTTTTAATTAAGTGCCCTTGTCATGGGCCTATTTGTCATTTGCAAAGGATAATAGTATATCAATATTACAATAATCCCCTTAAAGACTTTAAATTTGCAAAAGGTGAAAAAATGCAGAAAATTTCAATTTAGTGGTTAAAGTGTAAGTTCTGAATATATCTGTTCATTTTAATAGAAATAATAAAATTTAGGGACTAAGTTGAAACATTTGAAAAGTGAAATCAGAAGTAAGATAAAATTATCGGCGTCACCAGCCCTAGTCCATTTCCACCGCCACGAAGAACACAGTTACACCGCCGGAAGCCGTTCAACCCCGTTCCGTCCGATAAATCGCCGTTCGGGTGTATTCTACCTAATCGCTATTGAGTAATTGTTACGCTATGAGATGAATTTCCTCTCAAGCACGAAAATCTAGCAGCAGGTAGCCGGAGTTTTTTAATGTTTGTTTTGAATGGCAAATCCGGTGATTCGAACTCTTGGAAGATTGTCTTCACTTCTTAATCATCGTCCTCTCTCTTTCAGGTATTATGTGTACATCTCTCTCTGCATCTGCATCTGCATCTGCATCAGTTACTGCTACTTTCTCTTCACTGATTATGTTTATTCAATTATCAGACAAGTTTTTCAGAAAAAAGAACCGATTTTTACTCTCTTAAGGCCTACACCTCAACTGCATCAAATCCCACAAAATTCCTGCCAAGCAGTTTGGTTATGTCAAAGGAGAAACTTCAGTCACGGTTCAGTTAGTTTGGTAATATCGCCAGATGGTAAACCCAAGTTCGAAACCCACGAAATCGAGCCCCCGAAAAAGGACAAGTGGAAGACGAAGAAAAGGCTGAAGCTTCAGAGGAAGAGAGAGAAGCAAAAGAGAAAGACAGCCAATAAGAGAGACCCCAGAAGTCTTGGAGTTAAAGGCGCCGGCAAGAAGAAGAGGCAAAGGTTTGCCAATGCAGAGGAGAGGATCAAGTACAAGCTCGAAAACGTATTCCTACTAATTCTTGAATTAATCTAATTTAGCTTTCCTAATTGATTTATATATCGTCTTCCATGAATATCTCGTTTGTCAATTAATTTATTATTTAATAGTTGCTACTTTGGTTAACAGATTGTTTGGCATGATCGATTGTTCGTCTTAGAAGGACTCGGTTTCTTGTGCATATTTTGTTGATTTTGTAATTGGTTTGATTGATCGGCAGGCAAGAATGAAGGAGGCCTTATTAATTGAAAGGCTAAAGAAGTACGAAGTTCCCAAAGCGCAGGGTCCTGCAATCGAACCCCAAGTGCTAACTGGCGAGGAAAGATTTTATATGAAAAAAATGGCCCAGAAAAGGTCGAATTATGTACCGGTTGGCAGACGAGGTATCTTTGGAGGAGTTATTCTCAATATGCATATGCATTGGAAGAAACACGAAACGGTCGAGGTCATATGCAAACCGTGCAAGCCTGGCCAAGTACAAGAATACGCAAGTGAAATTGCTAGGCTGAGTGGTGGAACTCCAATCCATATAATTGGGGACGACACCATTATTTTTTATCGAGGAAAAGATTACGTGCAGCCAGAGGTCATGTCTCCAGTCGATACGTTATCGAAGAAACGGGTATGCATGCTTCTCTAAAACTATTACGAGCGATAAAGTAGATGTGCATGCTTAATTGCTTATAGATCGCCATATGATGTATTATTAATTTCTTAATCTCTTTTTATCAGTTGTTTGTGTATTTGGATTACTTACTGAATGAATCCAGCCAGTGGCAGAATTGGTTATCGATAATGTCATTGGGACAATTTTTTACTAAATAATCTATCGTAGAGTAGTGTTACAATTGTATTCATTTTCCTTCTGTTTATATCTTTTGTTCGTCTGAGATTGAATTGAAGCCACTTTTTCTTATGATGATTGTTGTATAAGGAAATAGGAAATACGAGCTTATGCATTGTTTTCGTGTGGTAGTTTACTATCTTGTCCTAAAAATTTGATTGTTGTCCATAAAGAAAATGGGGATAAATGAATGTTCAGATGGGTAAATAAATTTTGAGATGTTGTAATTTTTATACTTTGTTTTTATAATCTTATTTTCAGGCACTGGAAAAATCAAAATACGAACAATCACTGGAGTCGGTGAGACGGTTTATTAGTATTGCGGAGAAGGAACTGGAATTATATTATCGACATGTTGCACTTTATGGTGATCCGAACAATAGGGATCCCAAATCAATCCTCGATCAACCCAAGACCAGTGGCAAACTTGAAATAATGAACAACAATGTTGTCGAGGATGAAATTATGTCTTCAGGTGATTTGTCTTGTGAAGATGATGATGATAGTGACATGTTTAGTGACGACTATTCTTCTTCTTCTTCTTCTTCTTCTTGTGATGAAAAAACAGATGAGAGTACATTTTCAAGAATATGAATTGTAGATTAGGAAAAAGTTAGATGGTTATATTTTCAGCTTGTTAATATACATATTTATCAAATTTAGTGTCGATCGAAAGAATGAACATTGTTCGAGCTTCAAGATAATGGTAACATTTTTTCTTTTCAAGAAATTTTTGTATCCATCTTTTTGTTTCTTTTTTCTTTTGGGTAAATTACGGCCACCTCATGAGGTATCAGATTGTCGTGCATCAGAAACTGCTTATGCTTAACGAGTAAGAGCTAGAGAACATCCCACACATTTTAGAAGATTATATTAAATTTGACACCATGAGGATGGACGTGTGCAAGAAGGTTCATAGTTGAGTGATTGTAATTACCCAAACATGAGATGATTTTTCGTAATTTAACCTTGCTTCAAGGTGTAGCCGCAATTTAACTTTTTTTTTTTAACGGCAAATATACTACTAGATGGTCAAAAGCATTGTTGTGCATTTGATAATCGAGTAAATGCTGAACAATAACATCATTTTGCATAGCATTACACAAATACATGCTAATAAACAAAAATAATAATAATAATAATAAAGCAACTCATACAACAAACATTTGAGAAAATATTAAGGGAAATTCAATCCACAGCAAATGAATGAACTGCAATCTGCATAAGTTAATATGAATAAATATCAGGTTAAATGCTGTGTTATGTTGATGCTGACAAAGGGTACAACACAAGAGTTAAAATATCAGAAAGATTTTACAGCTTCATACAGACCGACACAGCCACGTTCAAATTCAAATCAACGTTTCTCTAAATCTTTACCTAAAAATATTTAAGACATAAATAACTACAAAGAAAACAAAAGATTCGCAATAGCGATTTCTGTTCCCTATGCGCGCGCGCCAACTCCCATCCTAAATCTTACTTTGCCTAAAAAGAAACCCTTCTTCTTTCTCCAACAGTCAGCACACTATAATAGCTTACCTTTCTCTCTCTCTCTCTCTGCAAATTAGCAACTCTTTTTAACTTTGGGCCTCGGGCGGCAGCTGCTCCTGCTGTGGCTGCTGGTTTTGAACAACGGGCGGTGCAACATTCACATTCATTGCTACAAATTCTAGCTCGTGCAACGCACTAATGGCAGCTTCATCGTTCAACGATGGTACTATTGACGTCACGGTTTGCTTCACTCTCGATTGCTAGCACAAGTTTGGGAAATGATATAAAGAAGAAAAAAAGAAACCATTATACAAGCAATCTTGAAAAGTTACGGATAGTGCATGAAAGAATAAACCATTATAGAAGCAATCTTGAAAAGTTACGGATAGTGCATGAAAGAATAAACCATTATTGAAGTTGTACTAAACACGAACGGAATTATTTTAACAATAGAGCAACTAACCAAATGTTCGAGTTTTGATTTCAGATCGAGATAGGCCACCAGGAGCTGCGAGTCTGGAGTTCGAGCGGCCACTGCAGCATCGTTCTAGAATGAAAACATGAACAAATTTAGTCACTCACACACACACACACACACACACAAATATATATATATATATATATATATATATATATATATATATATATATATATATATATATATATATATATATATATATATATATATATATATATATTATAATAATAATAATATATGCTTCAAGTTTTCACATAAGTATAGATACGTAAAATAGGGTTAGTTAACATGACAAGTTAAAAAAAATGTTTATTGTTTGTATTTCGAATTACAGGTGAGATTTGTAATGTACTAAAGGCAGTGGTTTTCGGCATGATAATAAGAAACAAAAACAGAACATATGATGATAATACAATGCAATGACAATGACGTTTGTAATGATGAAACAAGGTTAAACTAGAGATGAGAATTAGAATAAAAGAAAGCCCATTTGAACTTTCTCATCTTAAAAACAATTCTAATCCCACGATTGGTCAAGTACCAGCTTAGTACCACAAAGACAGAAAGCCTAAATTTTTATATTCATTCTCGTATCCAATAAAAATATAGACACCTACATCAACGTTTAGAAATTAAAATACTGTTAAACGTCTATAAATTAATAGATTTACAACTGCCATATTCTGTTAACGTACTTAATCTTAAACAATCAATTAATTCATAACTAATAATTTATATATTAATTTTATCAGTTGTCACAAAGCTCTCAACTATCTGCTAGTCAATCAACATCTCTCCCGGAAAATGTTGTTGATAATCCTAAGCTGTATTACGTACAATATATATTACAGATTTAATTCACAGGACATCTTTCAATCATTACATTAACGACAATAGGAATCAAATAATTATATCAATAAAAACATATGATGTGACACAATAACCAGACGATATGATCAAACAGCACACAACATCCACTGAAGGAAAAATCTCCATAAAGAAAATCAAATACAACTTTGTTAAAGCCTTCTTCACCTTGAGTTTATAACAAATATTTTCACTTGAACGACAATTGAGAACATGAGTAGCAAGCAAATATCATTAATTTACAGCATATTCAATGCATGAATCCAACTGAAAAGGCCTTAATGTACAAACTTGTAGCAAGAACTAAAAAGAATGAAACTTTCCAGGTCATCTATTTTAAAAATTATTATCATATTATATTGACGACTGAATGTATGGAATGATTACTCTTAGTAGCGTTCACTATTTTCTTAGCTTCATATCAAGCTATTAGTCTAATATGGCTTACAATCGAGTAGTCTTTTTTTCCATCAGAGCCATGCACAACAAAAATCGTGGCCGAGAAGATTGATAAATCACGGTTCAACTCAACTTGTTTAAAGTGTGCCCATCATCAACGCAACGTTATCTGTTATCTAAAGAGTAACATTGCTAACTAGAATTTATTGATGAATTATATTTTTGACCTGCTAATCAGTTTCTTCTTACGAAAAGTGAATGCTGAAAATCAATTCAAGTTTTTGAAACTAACGACAAAGTGCAATTGTTCAGCTCAGCCATTTTGCGTAGCGAATGTTTCTCATCCGTATCACATTCAAATTGTTTCTATCACAAAACATTAACATAAACATAAAAAATTCGATAATAAGATTCCAGCATAAAGAAAAGCTAATGAATTCTAGAGTTGAAAAAGTACGAAAAGTCGTTACCTTTCTAGGCCGGCCCAAAGGCCTACCAGAAAACTTTCTCGGCTTCTTTGGCTGCACAGCAATCAAGTGCCTCTGCTTCTTAGCCGTACCATCTGCCCTTGGCGGCCGCCCTCTTCGCTTCCCCATCACTAGCGGTGCCGCAACTCCACCGCCAACCACAGGCATTGCAACACCAACATTAGCAGCAGGTGCCGCTGCAGCTCCTACCACATTAATCGGCTTAGGCGGCCTGCCACGTGGCCTCCCTGTTTTTCGAATAACTAAGGTGGCGATCTTCTTAGGTCTCCCCCTGCCTGCCCTACCACCGCCGCCGCCGCCAACGCCGCCGGTGGGCTCACCAGTCTTGGGTGGACGACCACGTCCCCGTTTAAACCCTCCCTGCTTCGGCGGACGACCACGTCCCCGTTTAAACACGGGCTCAACCGCAGCAGCCCCGTTTTCGGGCCCCACAACAGGTACGTAAACGGGCCCTTGCCCAACATCGGGGTTGTGCATCGGCTGCTGAGGTGCCGGAGCAATGTTCGGCAAAGCGTTCATGTCCATGGGAGGGGCGAAAACCGGTACCGGAGTTTGAATTGTGTCGGGCTTGGGTTTGGGAGGACGGCCGGGCCGCCTCTTCGACCCGGTAGAAGCTGGATCGGGCTTGACAGCGCCGTTGACGGCAGGAGGAGTAGATCTAGGGAGTTTGTAAGAGTGTTTGACCATGAGAATCTGGCCGTTGATTTTCAACCGCTTGAGGTAGTGAGTCAACAGCGCCGAGTGGGTGGGTGGCAGATTCGAGAAGTGAGTCTCTATGTACTTTGCTACAGCCCTCTTGCTCGACCCGTTTCGCTCGTTCAACTCCGATATCGCCGCCGTTATCATCTGCAGAGTACACCTATACAATCAGAACCCAGAAAGAAAGGGGAAAAAGAAAATCTATAGACAATTTATTCAGAAAAGATAAAAAATAGGGTTTTTTTTTTTTTTTTTTTTTTAAATTCATTTTTGGGGTCACTGGAACAAGTGTTGGTACCTCAGCGTAAGGTGGGTGGTTGTGAGAAGGAGCTCGGGTAGGGGTAGGGTTGGCGGCGGCGGCGGTTGGGATGGCCGGAACAACCGTCGGTGGTTGAGCGGCTAACAGTGGTGGATCCGGCGGTGGGTCCATCCCCACTCAATTAAAAAAAAAAATCTGAATGAAATTTAGAGAGAGAAAGGAGGTGAGAATTTGGAGAGAGAGAAAGTGTGAGTGAGAGTGTGTGTAAGGATAGGGATGAAAAAAGGCGCTCCGGCTGAAGGGGTGTGAGGTGGATTGGACCGTTGGAGCCACTGTGTGAAGTGTGTGTATATGTTTTGTCTTTTTCTGCCCTTTATTTATTGCAGTGTTTGTTGTATTACCTATTACTATTTAGAAGGTTGGTTTCAATTTAATCATTTTTTTTTTCTTTTTCTGTGAGAAATTCAATTTAAATAAGTTGGCAGCAGGATTCATGTATGATGCATCCACTCACTTTGTCTTCCCTTCTTTAATTTCAATTACAAGTGTTTTAATACAAGCAATTAGTATCTTTGAGATGTTATAATTATATAAATGCATTTAGTTGTGACTCAATACATCTTTTGTGGCCGATAATTGCCCACCAACCGACCCGCTCTGGTCGGGCCGATAATTTTAACCGACCCATGTTTAGTTGGGTCGGGTATAGTTTCTAATATGATGAAAAGTCGGTTTGCCGATATTACCCGACCAACCGACTTTTTATTTTTATTGCTGGATTTTTTTTTATTTTTTTTGTATTTTGTATTGTTTTTTTAATTTGAAGTTTGTAATTTGAGATACATGTTGAAACTTGATTTTGGGATGTAGTTTTATAATTGTTAGGGGATGAATTTTAATTAGGCTAAGCAAAAAATCTGATTTTCTTTTTTTTTTTCTTTTTTTTCTTTTTTTTTCTTAAATCTACTGTGGCCGATAATTTGGAACCGAACTATTTCGGCAACCGACAAAGTCGGTTGCCAACCGTTACCCGACCCATAATAGTCGGGCCGATAATGGTTTTACATTTTTGCAATAGTCGGTTGGTTGGGTCGGGCCGATAATCGGCCGATATTCAACCGACCCGACCCATGAACAACCCTAACGGAGGTAAGAACGATCTCGTTTCTCAGGCATCATTCCGGATCCCGAGGTAAGGCATGGACAAGACTCATTTCTTAGGGCTTGGCGTGTTTCGTAGACCTTCTTGCCTTTGGCCCTTCTTGCTTTTAGGTTCTTAGGGCAGCGTTTCATAATTTTCGTATAATCTCATAGTGGTGATGTTCATTAAAGCGAACTGGCTCATGTAAATTACTTCCCCCTACTCCAAAATTTCAATTTCAAATGCGGAGTCATAAAGTCTCGCCCTTTTTTGACTGGCAACGTGCCCTATCTTCAGAGGTTATTCAAGATGGTACATAAGCCAAGACCCAACTATTCGTATGTCGGGCATATTATTTATCGAAGCGTGCGGAATGCATATTTCACGATAATCTATGCACTTCCCTTGATCGTATTCGTCCATTTTAAGAGGATGAGATCTTTTGACGTTTTGAATTCCTGCCTTATAAATACGCTCCCCCTATAATTATTTTCTTCTTTTGCATTTCTCATCTGTGTATTATTTCTCCCAATGAATTTTGTTTCCAGGCCTCTCCTTTTTGCCCCAACAAATCATCTATGTTTCTCTTTTTTAAAGGTACCACTCACTTCCTGGTTTCCCTACCTCTTTTCTTTCTTTACTGTTTATTATTATGTTCCCATGTCTTTTCGCTCATCTGAGCTAGCCGACCAAGCTTCTCGTCTTCGTTCTTTGGACGATGATGACGGTGGTTTTGACACCTTGGTGTCTCCTCTAAAGGAAGTCCTTCCCATCCCCGGCCTCGGTCTTCTTCCACAGAAAATCTTCAAGATCTATGCGAGGAAAGATCCCAGGATTTCCTTCGAGGAAATTCTCCAGATCTTCTCAAGGGAGGTCCTCAAGGTCTTTGTGAGTGGGACCCACGGGGATCAATGGGGGCATAGTACCTTAACTAATATTGAACTCGTCAATTTGATTAAAGATGTAGGTCTCTTCTCGGATTTCGAGTTAGTCCTTCATTCTCCTTTTGACCGTCCTCACATACCTCCTTGGGGTTATAGCACTTAATTTTTTGAACAGTTTTGTTATGGTCTTTCATTTTCAATCTCCCATTACTTTACCGGTATTGCCCAAATTTACGAGGTATCTTTAAATCAACTTCATCCTAATTCAGTTGTAATGATTACCGTTTTTCAAATGCTTTGTGCGTGGTCCAGAGTCATACCTTCCCCGACTCGTTTTCGGAGTGTTATGGTTTTAAAAAACTCAAGTCCATATCACGTCTCTATCTCTTCCCGTCCTCATTTCAAGTTCATAATGCCTCCGAACAAACTATTTCTTTGCAAAAAAATCCTTATGACAGACCATATCTTCGCCCTTGGACTGTTATGTTAACTGAGAACAGGAGAGGTAAATCCCTTCATATTGATGATTGGTTGTTACGACTCATAACCCACTTTCAGCCGAGTTTTGGCTTACCCGAACTGCTTGTTAAATACCCTCCATTATTATGACATTTTTACTTCCATAATAATAATAAGACCCAACCTATGTCGCAAGCTGCACTGGGTAAGCTCGTTAATTACACCAACTTCACCAAGATCCAGGGTAATCCATCGATGGTTACTATGATCAACTTTGTTATATTTGGGACCAAATTGATCTTTCGGATCCAATTTGGGCATGCCCAAAATACGTTGTTGTTCGAGATGAATTTATACTTTATGAGTTTTTTATGTCTCTTGGCAAAGTATTTGAGCCCATCGAAGGTGGTCGTATTCCTCTTCCATCTCTTGATATCGTTGTAAATGAATTGGTACGGAAAAATCCCATTTGACTACATTTCAAGCCAAAAATAAGTTATATAATTTGCCGGTTACTCTTTGTACGAATATAGAGCAACTTTCTCAATCATGGATTGGTGTTTTCATTAATTGCAGAAAGCAGCATAACAAAAGGTTCTGCAATTTATGTAGACGCCCTGGACATACTATTAAGACATGTTATCGCCGCAAAACTACTGTTGATGTTGTCGAATCGAATCCATCGAGGCTTTCCAACCTGGTCGATTCTCAATCTTTTGGATCCACTCTCCATCTCTCCAAAATGAGCTGCAATATATAATAGCACATGATATTCTTATGGCTGGTAATGCATTTTCTCTCTGCTCTTCCGGTTTTGCCTGAAAGTCTCAATCTCTTTTTGATTCCGCATGTTGTAACCACATGACTCCACACTCGTCTTTGTGTTCTAAACTCAAAATTGCACCACAACCTATTGACATTCATATAGCCAATGGTTCCACTTTGCATGAAAAAAATCTAGGGTCTATTTAAACTCCAAACGTTTTTGTCTCTGGAGTCTTTCATGTTCCTGATTTATCTTACAATTTATTTGATATGAAATGGATAATATTAACCCATATTGCAACCTATTTGCATATTAGAGTCACGTGGCAATTCTTCAATACTTGGAGCATAAGTCCACACAATAAGGACTAAGTCAAGTTATGTTCATATTCTTTTGCCATTTCCTTAGTTTTAGGCTGATGAGTTGTATTTCTATTTAGTATTGCAGTGTCTTGTGCGTATATAAATGCACCAGCATGTAGTGAATAAGGAAACAATATTTTTCAAGCTTTACTCTTCTATCTCCTTACTCTTCTAAAATCTATCTCTTTCTTCTTTTCCTCAAATTACCCTATCATTTGGCACCAGAGCCAGGTTAATCATGGACACACGAGGGAAAAGCAATGCTGAATTTCTCAATGATGTGAATGAATAATTGGCCCGACATAAATCCAGTTTTGATCAGGTAAAACCCGCATTGCAGATGACTTATATGGAGCTCCAAGCCTTGATAGTAGCTCGAAAAACCAACCACATCCAACCCGATCCACAACCCCAACAACACCTTAAGCTGAATTTTCCCTGATTTAATGGGGAAGACCCTGTCTCGTGGGTATATAGGGTTGAGCAATACTTTTAATTTCAGAATATTGTAGCTGAAAACCAAGTTCAGTTGGCCTCTTTCCACCTTAAAGGCATTGCACTGCAATGGCACCGTTGGTTAATCAAATTCCGAGGACCTCTTTCTTGGAGTGACTTCACAAAAGCCGTTCTCCTTAGGTTCGGACCAACTGAATACGACTATCCTTCCAAAGCATTGTCACGCCTAAAACAAACCACTATAGTTGTTGCATATCATGAGGCCTTTGAGAGACTCTCCCATCAGGTTGATGGGTTACCTGAGCAATTTCTAATTGGTTGCATTGTTGCCAGATTGTGTGACGACATTCGCCTAGATGTAAAAATTACGAAACCACGAACACTCGCCAATGCCATTGGAGTGGCAAGACTGATCGAGGAACGTATTCTCCTCAAAAGAAAAACAATAATTCCTAGCCACCTTTCAATATCCGCCACGCTACCGAGGGCACCCAACACTTCCGCCGGAATTGGTGGACCCAATCCAAATCAACGATCCAACGATAACTCAAGTTCTTCTTCGGTACCAGTTCATGGAATCACAAATCAAGAAGCTCGTGAAAGGAGGGAGAAAGGATTATGATATTATTGCAACGAAAAATATTTTCAGGGACATCGGTGCTCACGATCCCAACTTTTCACGATCATAGATAAATTGGTGGAATAATGAAGCTTTAGACGACAACCAACAAGGTGTTGATGAGAGTAACTAGGGAGATATCCTTTCGTGTCATTGTTGGGGGTGAACACCCACAGACCATCTGTGTTCTAGGTTAATGGTTAATTAAGGAACAAAGATTTACATGTCTTGATTGATGGTGACAACACTCATAATTCATCGATCAAACGGTAATTTTCAGATTTGGGTTGTTAATCATAAAAGAAAGAAACTTCAAGTGATTGTGGCAAATCGAGAAAAGATCGAGTGCTTAGGGTAGATTATTAAATTCTTCCCGTTGCCGCGTATCAAGTGGTTTTGGAGATTCAATGGCTGCAGAACTTAGGTTCTATTGAAACAGATTAAAAAAATCTGACGATGACTTTCAAGCTAGGAAACCACTCTTCATGGGGTAAGACGCGCTGCTGAAATTTTGGATGACAATGAGTTTACAGGTTTACAAGGCACATGATACTATTTCCAAATTATTTCCGCCCAGAACGAGCCCCAACACATCAGTAAGGACCGAAAATGAAAAAGTTATTGAACCAATCTGCTCAATTTTTTTAGAATCCAA